AGATGAATGGAAAAGACGTCACGATCTACGTTGGTAAGGAGAGATTCAGAGCACACAAATGCATACTCGCCGCTCGTTCGTCTGTCTTCAGGGCGTTGTTCTTCGGTGCCATGATTGCGGAAACCCCTAGGACCATTGAAATCGAAGATATGGAAGCTGGTGTGTTCAGATTATTGCTACATTTCATGTACAATGACTCGCTGCCAGAGACGTGGTCTCAAGATGCAATGATGGCTCAGCACCTGCTTGTCGCTGCGGATTGGTACAATGTTGGGAGGCTGAAGCTGATATGCGAGGAGAAGCTAGCAAAGCACATTGACTGCAACATGGTGGCGACCACTTTGGCTCTAGCTGAGCAGCATAGCTGCCAAGGACTCAAGGAAGCTTGCCTCGAATTCCTTGCTTCAACCAACCAATCTTGAGAGGATGATGAGAACTGATGGTTATAAGCATCTGAAAATCAGTTGCCCAATTGTTCTCAATGAACTCATTGCGAGATTGCTGCCTCCTAACTTGAAAGCAGCAAGACAGATAGCTATGGATCTTCGGTAGTGTTGGTGAACTTTTATTATTATTATAGTAGTTTGCCTTGCTATTATTATTATTATTATTATTATAGTTTCATCGGTAAAGATACCTTGCCTTGAATGTTTAGGGAGAACAGAAGTAAAGTTAGAATTTATCTGATGTTGCATATAACGTCACAAAAAATAGTTCTAACGGCAATCCACGTCAGGATTAATTTTCCTGACTGATAAGCCAGTCCTAATGGAGTAATGGTACCCCATTAGGAAGCATTTTCCTTTAGGCAATTTTACGGTTCTTAAAGAGGTATCATGAGGTACCAAATTTTACACTAATATTTGGTACCTCTCATGGTACCTCATAGTACCTAGCTATTAAGAGGTATCAAATTTACAATAAAAAAATTAGTACCTCATGGTACCTCCTCAAGTACCATAAAATTGTTTTTTTCCTTTATGTGAATAGTGTTTTTCCTAACGGTTTGTGGCTATCAGGAGTAATCCGGTTTGTAGTAGCAAGGCCAGATGCATTGGATTTGATATGCAACTCGTCAGTTTTATTTTTATACATGCAATTTATCAGGGGCAGAGCTAGTGGATAATAGGGGGTGTTCAGGAACCCGGTCAAGAAAATTTTTTAGCTATACCTCATCTATTTTCACCATGTATGCACCCCTTCAATACAAACTTAAGCACCAGCATTAACTTAAACTCGATTTAAAGTAGAGTAAATTAAGCAAGTGGCATCACCCTCCATTTCGCTCTAGCTCCGCCACTGCAATTTATATTTTATATGCAATCTTTACCTACTTAAAAAATTGATGTTGCTTAGGTTCCTGTCTGTCATATCTGCCCGACTGTGATTCGTGCGTTCAGTTCGTAGGCAGAGCCTGTCTCTGAAATTGCCCGGGTACGTATGGGACAGAACGCAATGGGCAAGCGTGTGCGTTCTTGAAAATGCGATGGGCTTCGGTTATGATTGATCATTTCCACCCAGAGCAGCGTGGTTCCGATCCAGCATCTATCTTATGCACCCCACGGGCATGGCCGCCCACCAGGATTTCAAATTTTGAAATTAGATTTTCTGTCGCGGGTTGGGGGGGGGAGGGGGGAGGGGCGAAATTTTGACTGGTTTTAAATAAAATTTGACCAAATTCATAAAAATCAAAAGTTTCGGACGAGATGTGAGCATTTTGGTTGGGGGAGGTGGGTGAAATTACCGAAATTTCAAAAATTTCAGAAATTTCGAACCGAAATTTCAAACCCTGCCGCCCAACAACAAACTCAATGCGCGGTATCCCCTTGCTGTCGGGGCGTGGGCTCAACGCAACCAGTGGCGGGAGGGATAGCCGGAAGCATGGCGAGGAGTGGCTGCGCCATGGCGACAAGCCGGCGTGCCCGTTGTGCTGTCGATGTTCTAGGTCATCATCGAACATCGGGCGGTCTAGCTGGGTGATGTTTCCAGGTAGCCTTAGTTCATGGCAGTGGTGGCTATCATGGCGGACACCAGCGTCAACACATTATGCACATCATTTTCTTCCCAAAACACCAAAATGGGATCCCCACATCTAGGGACACGTGATGCTCACTCTTTCCTGTGTCGTTTCTAACTTTCCATGCCGAAGTTATATATCAATCCCATTCACAACGTCGTTATAGTTGTAGATCTAGAACTTGCTTTCTGACCAACTCAAATCTTTCTTATCTGAGTACGCCATCCAAATTCGTTTAATATTCGGCTCGTTTACTGTTTCTTTGTGTTTTGTTTCCTTGTAGGGTATGCTAGATCTTCATCGGATGTAGACCTACACTAAAAAAACGGAATGTCCTTGGCGGCCAAAAACCGCCAAGGATAGCATATAAACCGCCTAGGATAATTATTCCGTCGGCCGACCACCAAGAAACTACCACCAAGTCTAGAGTGCCAAGGATATTTAAATTTATTGGCGGCTAACCGTAAGTAAAAATATTCATGGCGGTCAAACCACCAAGCAAATTAAGAAGATTGCCATCTTTCGAAAGCGTCAGGAAAAATAGCCTTGTCGGTTTTCCACCGCCAAGAATAACTTTAACTTGGTGGCTGCGAAACCGTTAAGAATACTAACTGAAACGTCCCGCCTCTCTTACATCTAGCAGCTTTTCTAGGACATAGACTGCCCTCACAAACCAACACAAGTATTTTCTACACAATATGTCCTCACTCGCTTAACCTCAGAGTTCTTTGGAGATCAACTTCATCTTGTTACAAATACCTGAAACCAAAAATAATTATTTTTTCTTTCACAAGCTCTAGCCAAATTTTTTTTTATTAGTACAAGGCTATGAATGCACGGAGCAACAGGCTAAGGTCTTCCATGCCGCTGGCCAGCTGCGGCATGGCCTCCAGCTTCTCCTCCTCAGGCTCCTCCATGGCGTCCTCCTCCTCCTCTGCGCGGTTCAGCCGCTCGAGTAGCATCCACCTCCTCCTGTGGCGCCCATCGGGACGGCGAGCCGGGCCCGAACCGGTGGCACCATGTTGGCGCGGACGGCACGAAGGCGGTGCCCCTTCACCGTGATGGTGTCGCGGTGGGCGGTAATCCTGGCCTCGATGGAGCGGATCCTCGCAACGGCGGCGGCGACGGCGTGCTCCTGCACAAGGTGCCGGAACTGGATCTCCTGGCGCGCGTAGGCGGCTAGCGTGGGGCTCCCCAACCAGAGAAGCTCCTCCACGGTGTCGAGCGCCCGCGGGACGACGGAGGTTGTGGGGGGGGGGGGGGCGACAGCGGAAGAGGTCGATGTTGTTGAACTCGTCGATTTGGTCGAAGCACGCCTCCTCAACAATTCCGGTGGTGTGGGGATTGGAGGAGAAGAGGATGGAGTGGGGAAGAAAGGGGACGAGAGGATGGAGTGGGGAGGCAGTTGCCATTGGATGAGGAGGGAATGGACGGTTGGGATTGAGATCACGGGAGGAGGCGCGGATTGATGACATGGCATGAGGGCAGATCAGTGATTTGGCAGGATAGCGGGAATTTTCGTGGTCTGAGAGGCGGCCAACTCAAATTTTTGACCTGCAGGTGCGCGACCCTGGTAATAGGGAGTTGGAATTTATATTGACAGTTTTGCTTGTAACCGCCAAGCAAAATACATATTTCTTTGTCTGCTATGGAATAGCCGCCAATAAAATTTCTTTATGCTTGGTGGCAAGTTTGAACCGCCAAATTAAAGTGTAATCTTGGCGGCTGATTTCAGACCGCCAAAAAAATCGCATGGCCGCTAGGGGCATTCCTTTCTTGTAGTGCTGCGGCATGACCAGATGAGCCGGGCAGTCTTATTCTTATTGTGTGTGGGGCATGTTAGATCCGATCAAGGCCCTATTATGCATGAATGGCGTAACGAGTACGCCCTAGGATGGTGACCACGCAAATGCCATATATATTACCACCGTCACCCTTGGTCGTCCTACATGGCTGCATGTATAGCTATCACCATCATGGGTAGCAGTGATAGCCGATGCTGATCAAGTGAAAGAACAATCTAAAGAAACATGTGCATGCTTGAGATCGCACTTCCCACGATGCAAATATGCACAATCCGGTGAATCCATCAATAGTAATAAGGAATCTGATCAACAAGATTGCTCGAGTGGTGGGGAGAAGAGAGGAGAGGCCAGGGCTGGCTCAACATTTTCGAGGGCTCTAGGCGAACTTCACACTATAGGCCCTTAAGAATTAAGGCTATTTCTTTTAACTTATAATATATACTCTATAAAGCACCTATACTATAGTGATATAAATAAACATTTCTAACATGGTAAATAATAAATCAAGCAGTTTGCAAATTGCAATATAGTAATTTGTTCTCGATAAATAATATCGATAGTATGATTGACAACTTAAAACACTACACCGGATTAGGTTACCTCTGATGGCTCCAAACCAACACTACACCGGATTAGGTTACCTCTGATGGCTCCAAACCCTCACCATTGACAGGTTTGGGCTTGGTAACAGATTAGTGGTCACTAGTGAGGACCAGTCACCTTTGACGGAGGACCGTCACTGGTAACAGTCACCTCTGACGGACAAGAACTCTATGGCCCGTTAAAGGTAAGTGTCTCCGCTAACCCATGGCATGTTACAACCCGTCATAGGTAACTCATTTGTGACGGGTCGGAGAGTAAAAACCGTCACAGGTGACTTTCTTGTGACGGCATGTATGTGCAGAGCCGTCACAGGTGACATCACAAGTGACGGCTTTTGCAATATCAACCGTCGGTGATGAGCAACATGTAGAAAAAAGTTTCTAAAGATTGGCTAGCCTCCCATGCCCTCTAAAAGAATAGAATAGTCACATGCATTCAAACTAACATCACACATGCATTCCAAGTTGTCACCGAAAATCAACAAGAAGTTAATAGATCAAATGTTCATCAAACTAGAAGTATAAGCGCGGCGTGACCTGCAATCAGAAGGATGATTAACAGCTTAAGCAAAGCAATTGTTAAACATTTGTAGCTTCTTTTTTTCAACCAATTCCCATTCTCCAGACAAACAAGAATTAGGACCATGTCTCTTACATTCGTACTGCCAAAATTGCTCATAGAAAAAGAAATTACAAATTCAAAAATTAGAAAGTAATGATGCCATATCAGAAAAGAGCTCTTTTGAGTTTTCAAATATAGAGACATGCTACCAGGCCAACATCATCAAGTTCGAGAATTAATATAAAACTCAAAGAACACAATGGCTTGCACTTAGAAAAGCAGAGTCATTCAATTATCTGCTATGTCAGCAACTCCATAGTCTATGGAGCACCTATTTACCTGCAAGCAAAAAGATGGCACTGAATTAGTTTGATATGAGAACAATTTGCAGAATTAAATAAGATGAATAACTAAAGATAAGCAAAGGAGAATAGGAGTGGAAGATATTAGCTAGGTAATCCATAGTACGTGCAACCTATGGAACAATAGAGATCATGTATTCTATCTGAGACAACAGAGATATATTTTTCAACAACTCTTCCAGGACCTATGCACATATAATGAGATACACGGCACAAAACAATTTATGATCGTCAATCTACTAAATTCAAGAAGGCATGTGGATAAGCAAAAGGATTGCAGCAAACTTGTACACCACCTTATGGGAGAAGAGGATCTTGCAGCAAAATTGATTTTCTGTAATTCCTGCAGCCATCTCATGGGAGAGGATCTTGAATCTCTGAATCTCAAAGAGCTGCAGCAACTGGAGAAGCAGCTGAAAAATACATCGAAACATATCAGATCCAGAAAGGTACTATTTGTCATGAGAACCTGAATAGAATAGTCAAATCAGTTCTGCAAGAACATTTTAGATCATGCACATAGGTTTGCTGTATTTGACAAACAGATTCAGATATATCACTTCAGCGCAATAGGAATCTACACATCATTCAGAGGATCAGAGTATGACAAACTGACTAGCAGCTTATTTAATGCTCAACTCAACTAAAATAGAAGCAGCAACCTTATTTAAGCGTGGATACATTCCTACAGACAACAAATTTAGCCATGCAAAGAAAGAAAAAAGAGGATAACACAGAAGCTCACCTCCAAAGATGTCTAGCTAATGTAGCCGGTAGGTGGTGACTGCACAGGATGAGGAGAAGCACATGCTCGCCGTACAGCCGATAGGCCTTGACGGCGGACGGCAGCGCACACAGCCGATTGGAGGAGAGAGGAGACGCCATCCACTCACCATGAGCCTGGATCTGGCGCTGTTGGCGCCGGAGGCCACTGGATCTGGAGTACCCAAACTCGGGACAGCTAGATCCACAGCCCCCCGAGCTCGGGTTGTCCAAACTTGGAGCCCTAGCCGGCTTGTGGTCACCGGCGTTGCACCTCCACACCGTTCGCCATGACCGTGCCTCTCCTCCTGCTCCTGTTAGATCTGGTGGAGGGGAGGGCGCCGCCGCCGCTGGGCCGCCGCACGCTCCCCTCTGTCCCTGCCAGGCCGCCGCTGCACACAGAGAGAAAGGGAGAGAGAGAGAAGTGGAGAAATCGAAAGAAATGGAGAGAGAGAGAGAAGTCGGCCTTATCTCCTCCGGGAGTGGGCACCGCCGGAAGAAGAAATATCTCCTTCGGTTTGGGTATATAGTGGCACAACTCACCGGACGGGTTAGTGCTTAAATCCGTTTGAGGTGAGTAACCTCACTTCTGATGGGTCATCCGGTTACGACCCGTCACAGGTAACTAGTCACCTGTGACGGGCTGGAAGTAGAACCCGTTACAAAGTACTATGACCTAAAATCAGTGAGGGAAAAATCTATATAATCAAGGGCCTAGGCCTAATGAAAACTAATCCACCATATACCTTAATTTAATTAACTTATGGACTTATGGTGCACTAAATGGTTGTATACTTGTATTGATTCCTTTAACGGTTGAACCCAAAACGGTAGCACCCTAAGTCTCTAATCAAGGTAATTTAATGGGGAACAAAAATAAATTAGAAGAACAGATCAATTCTAATCAGTGAGAAGGATCGATGGATTGGATCATCAATTCTAATCAGTGAGAAGGATCAATTCTAAGCTATTGGGCTAAATACCTATACAGGATATATACCTGGATCGGGGCTCCGATTTTGGCTGGGCCCTAGGCCATCGCCCTTATGGCCCTGCTCCAAAGCCGGCCCTGGGAGAGGCGGAGAGGGAGATAAAGGAGTTGACGAGAAGAATCGGGGAGATATTTTCTTTTCCTCCCATCCATGCTTGGCTCAGCTCAATATGTGATGGTTCTTTAAAACAATCTGACACAGATATTTATAGGTGCCAATTTTTTTATAAGATGCTCAAGATGAATGCGAAATATCTTATATGTGTCATTTAGAGCAACTGGCGCATATAAAGGTGTCTGTTGATGAAAAAAACACATACTGGTCTAAGAGATTTGCTTTACTCTAATGCAGGTCCAAATCTTAATTACTTTCGGGTTGAGAGCGTGCCAACTGGTTTAATTCTACAGCCAGCAAGAAAAACAAGAAGCAAAGTTAGATGAACAATAGTCGATCGGCTAGTAAGCCGATGTCGTATCGTCAAGAATTAAGCCAATGCAATCAGATCGAATCAGCTCTTGTATGATGGATTAAAAAGAGCAAAACCCTAAATATGATTCATTGGCTATAATATTAATCATGTAGTTTAATCAATATTGGAAAAATCAACCGATGACCCAATATTTAGAGCAATGTATTACTCTAATACAAACTTATATAAAAGTGTTGATCAAATCAAATGCACCAAATATGCCCCAATCCTCAGATATGATGATCTGAGCTAGATTGAATCATGCTTGATATATTTAAAAAGACAATTCTCTTATATAAGTGGTAGATACAATTATCAAACAAGTTAAAAGATAAATTCAACTGTATCAGGTAAGATCGGTTGAAACTCCGATGCTATCCTTATTTTTAATCAATTCCAGATTAGTTTTTAGAGTTCTAGACAAGAGTAGGGTTGATGCAACTCAAAGTATGTAAAGAAACCTTGATTGAGCTACGATTGGGTTCTCATTCTCCCACGTGTCGCTCTAGCACATGCTGTATGGATGCATGCTATGGCGGCATTCTGGCGATTTGTACCCGAAGACTAATTAAAATTGCATCCAAAAAACAAATTAGATTTGGATTATGAGTACAGAGTCGCGAAGCATAATTTTGCATTCGATTAAGGATTCCAATTTTTAAAATATCAGTAAAGGACCTTCGGTCCATAGATTCTACCGACCCGCCTAGCAATCAAGCTCTTGCTGCTCTGCGAGACTGGGTTTTTTGGAAAGTTGGAACGACATACAAATGTTGTTAAATGCCGCACACTGGTAAAACCCTCCAAGCTTACTTCCCCCTACCAATCTGAATGTAAAAGAAGAACTAAATACTACTATCCATGAGATCATCATAACAAAAACTAGAATTGCCCAGCTAAATAGGAATAGAAATAAATCCAGGGTAAGAAAGACCCTTTCTCTAAACCCTAAAGCTTTGCAGAAGTACGAATTTGAAAAGGAATAGGTCTTGCTTGGAAGAAAAGGGAATTTGGTTGTTGCAAAGCAAGGGGAAAACTCATCCTCAAGTAAGGCAATAGTTGCTTGCACAGAAACAGAACCATGGGGAAAGTGATCTCTGACCGCGTGCCTGTTGAAGAATGAGCTAGGGTCAAACCTATCCTTGGTTTAGGCAATGCCAACCTTTCCTTTCGAACAACGGTACTTACTGCCCGTAAAACAGATCGGCACCTATCCTCGGTCTCGGCTATCTTTACGCCTTAGAATTCATTCATAAAATGACAATGAACAGTCTTTATGGCTGTTTTGCTATATCGCCTGAAAGCACTATGACCGTCGGTGAAAAAGAATCAAAGAGAATGGTCCATGAATTGGTGGCAAGAGAGCGAGTTCGACTCGCGAACGACCCGCAAGTGAAGGACCGATCCTTTAACGCCAGTAGTGTTGCGAGACTGGTACTTGGGGGCTCACGAGCAACATATAGACTAAGGTTACCCATCACTCCCTCGCTCCTTTTTGAAGGCCCACTGCTCCCCCTTTCTTTAAGCATCTATCCCGGCTTGCATTTTGGGGGCGAGTACTACAATTCCTCCATAATCACACAGAACGCCCAGCTTCGCGGGCTTTGCCTGCCGACGTTCTAATAAAGAATTCTGGCTCGGCCCAGGAAAGTGCTGGCAACAACATAAAGAAAGGCAATGAGCAAAAATGTCACTCACCGGCCTAAACGACGAGCAAACACTCGAACGTGAGAGCAAGGGATCACCCAATGAATGGGCGACCCCCAAGGAAGGGGGAGAGAGGGAGGCAAGAACCATGCTTTCAGAGAAGTGGCGGTCCGAATCCACTCTGTCAAAAAAAAATAGCAGACTAAGCCGTGCCGAGATTTTTACCCTTCTCTAAAAAGAAGTGTCTCTATTTAGAGATTTCTCTACTTAGATGAATAAATCATACTCTAGATATATTATTAACGAATATGTATCCCAATCCATCTCGAGTAATTTGAGAATATGCATTTCGAAATGAAAAGCTATCCCCAGAAAACAAAGAAAACGAATAGGGGCGTAGCGAAGGCACGTGACGAGGCACCTCGAGGGCAATTAGCAGATAGAATATCTCCTCCTTTGCTGTATCTCCCCAGCAAAACACGTGCACAAAGTAAACAATCCAGCAACTGACTAATTTTCAGAATGGTAGATACCTTAGCTAATCTAATCTAGCAAGATAATTTAACAGATACCAGTTGTCGACGGGCAATACCGTGACTACGGTATTTTGCATAGTATGGGGATCATTGGTACCAGGATATATGCGAGATTGAAGTAAAAGAGATGGAGACAAGGTTTTTTATACAGGTTTGAGCCCTTTACCTGACAGATAATATCCCTACTCCTATTGTCTGAAGCATGTGTTGCTCTTTATTCATCATAACCACACCAGTACAATGTTTGGGATAACCTATCTAACCGTTATCGACTTGGCGGCCTAGAATACAAACACGTAGTCAGCAACAGGGTAGTTTTTCTCCTCGAATCCGTACTTAGCGAGATCAGAGATAGCGCTAGATCCTTCTTGCCGGCCTCCACAGACACTATCTAGGGCTTGTCTAGGCTTACTCTGACATCGATATTTGGCGGCTTGTTTTGGCGTGTGTTGGCTTGTATTGGTCTATGTATGTTGTGCCTTCGTGTGTCCTCTCCCCCTCCTCCTAGGGGGTCTATTTATACGCATAGGTGTCCACTTAACCAAGTAGAACTAGGGAGACCAATATAGATACAATCCGAGTAGTCCATATAGTTTCCATATTGAACTCTATTCATCCTTCCTTATCCGGAACTCCTTGTATATTCGAGGTATGATTCCGTATAAGATTTTGTCAAGGTTATGGATACCACATACCTAATAGTAGTTGACTAAATCTCGGCAAGACCCACCACATACCATGTCTTATACGGGAACTGACTTCAGATATGGAGGGAGTTCCGGATAAGGAAAGACGACCAGAGTTCTACATGGAAATGACAAGGACTACTCGGATTGTATCCATATTGGTTTCCCTAGTTCTACTTGGACAAGGGGACACCTATGGGTATAAATACAAGGCCCCCTAGGAGGAGAGGAGGGACAATCAACACCCACCATAGAGAATACAAAACAATAGATCAACACAGAAGATCAACATACCAGCCAACATACGCCAAGACAAGACGTCGGATATCGACTTCAGAGATAGGCACAGCTAGTCCCCTACGGTGTCTCCGGATACTAGGAGAGACATTGCGCTGTCTTTGATCTCGCCGGGCACGAACTCGAGGAGGAAGGCTACCCTGTTGTCGACTACGAGTCAGACCTTCAGACCGCTATGTCGACAACAGTTAGATAGGCTACCCCAAATATTGTACTGGTGTGATTATTGTGAATAAGAGCAATACCGGCTTCGGCCAACAGGATGTAGGGTTATTACCTGACAATGCAGGGGCCTGAACCTATATAAAAACCCTCGTCTCCGTCTCTTTTACCTCAGTCTCGCGTATACCCTAGCACCGACGATCCCCATACTATGCAAATACCGGAACCGCGACATCAAACGTCGACAGATTTGGTATATGGTGGGCCCTACCGAGCTTAGTAAACTACTATTAGGTATATGATATCCATAACCATGACACCAGTATAAACCTGTTAACAACCAAATTTGGCAGTATCAACATCGGAGATGGAGATTAGATCGAGGTGGAATCGAAGACGAAGATCGATTTGGGAACAGAGTAAGAGTCGGCTGGAGTCCAAATCGGCTACGATTAGGATCGGCTGAGTCCGAGTCAGGCTGGGTAAGCCGATACAGCCGATTCCGGCAAGATGACTTGGTGTACGACATCAGGTTGACTTGATATGCTTCAAGATGATTGCCATGCATGGATAGAGTCCTGAGAAGGCAATTATATCTATTAATTAGGATATTTTATGTAATTTTCTTAGAGATATGTTTGGGCAAAAGTCTACCATAAAGACTTATGGTATCTTAGAGTTTGTTAGAGATAAGAATCGTGTCCGATATGGACATAGTTTGTAATTATCGGGTACAAATAGACCC